TATATATATATATATATATATACTTCTAAAAGTCGTGTATCATGCATAGGAACGTTGACGCCTGCAAGGCTCTGGTATTTATTTATCTTACTAAATCAAGTCTACAAAATATTATTTGATGAACAATCTTTTTACATGTGTGTATTGTCATTGAGGACATCGTTTTTTGACATTTTAAATGAGGTAAAATAATTGTAAATAAAAAATAAGCTAGGCCCAGGCTAATTAATTAAAAAAAATAATACAGCAGTACAAACAAGTTCCTGTCGTGGACAGCGAGTGGAAGAGGAGACTCCCATGAAGTCAAGTGTACGTTTTTCTTATTGAAAAACAATTCCATACTTTAAATTAACGATCTAAACTCGTGTTTGCCATTCACAAATTATCAAACAAAGCTACAGCAGTCTTTCTGCACATAACAAATAAACAACATGCTTTTGCTTTGTAGGTTCGCTTCGCGTAGCCTTGCTTAGATTGTTTATATCAGGCTACGATGTATCTACGAAGCCTGCGCGCAGGTTAGATTGTTTATATCAGGCTACGATGTATTTACAAAGCCTGCGCGCAGGTAAAAGTGCAATATTTCATGGCGGTACTGTATGTGTACAAAGTTGTGTGCAATTACACCAGTGTTTTTATATTTCATTTAAAATTATCAATATGTGTATATCTAACAAAGCAATGAAAATAGGCAATATTCACACTTTTAGTTGTTTTGAGAGTTTGGGGGGGATAGCCAACCTGACCCCAGGGGCTCAGTGACCTAATCCATGCGTAGGATTTATAATTTTATTATGTTAGATTCATATATGTATAAATAACTAATAGACTAATGGGGATAAAAAGTCTGATAATTGTGTTTAGTTGTTGGTTTTTAGTGTTTACTGTAGGAGTTGTGAAACTAAAAATGCTGTTTTCTCAGCTTTATTGCCTGAAAAGAGTGAAATTGCAATAAGTTATGTGTTTACTATTCAAAATTGTGTTGCAATAGTTTATTGTATGAATTAAATGTATAATATCATTTGAAAGCTCATGAATTACTCTTTATTTTGGTGTAAAGAACATTCCATATTTGAATATACATGTGTTCTCAATGTGAACTGGAAACTTGGTCATATAGGCTAAAATGTCTGCCAGAGAGAGCATTGCTATCACTAAAATGGCCTGGCAGTCAAAGTGTTAATACACTCAATGATACAGAACTGTTGTTGCAGTGGCCCAAAACAGGGTTCATTTTGAAAAGAAGCCCGCTCTTTACTTTGCAAAAGTAGCCTTGAAAAGAAGCCCATCTCGTAAAGTAGCCCATCCAAGGTTCGCAAAATTAACAGTAAACGGACACGATATGCTAATATTTCCAAAGATACAATATGAAAAAAAAAGAATACAGCAGAGGATTTAGGTTAAACAAATGTTACAACCATTACAAAAACCATCAAAATGCATTTTTTTAAAATCATTAAATACGTATTATTTTCTTTCTAGTAGTGTCTCGCCTTAGTAGTTTCCAGTATAATTTTCATAGATAGATACATCTGGTTTACTTACAATTAATACACGTGTGGAAAATATATATATATAATAGACTTTCATCTACAGTAATAAGTATAGTTTGGCCTTTGGGATTTTCAAACTGAATTTATCGTATTTAAAACGTGTTCGCTTGATGGCCATGTAAAAATCAGTTACTAAATGTTAGTTTATCAAATATAAATAGGATTAAGCTTTGATTTATGTATGGACTGATTCCTCTTTATACTGTATTCAAAAGAATGGCATAGAAGCAGTTAACAAAACATTTAAATATACTGTAATGATTGAAGAATTAATGTAATGTATTGCTATTCTGAAGAATACTGCTGTCAAGGTAAGTTCAGATAGCCTAGGCCTTTACTTCTACAGTACTAGGCCAAATGTTTGGTCAACATCGAGGGTATACCGTCAGTGCGGGTTAATTTGTTGTCGACTTAGGCGAGTTTGACTGTAGTCGATGACCATGCCCATACACAATTCAGCACAATGATGCTGTGAGTTATGGGTTACTCTCTATTCTTTATACCTTTATTAAAATAAACTACTAGTCGTAACTGCTGTGCTAGTCACTCTCTGTTTTAAAGAAAGTAAAATAATGCCGACTACAGAGAAAACCTGATGCTTAATTGATGTTTTCTTTTATTCATTGTACAGGTGGAGGAGGAACTAAATGACATATGTAAAGACATATTAAGTGTACTTGATGAACATCTTATCCCATTAGCTGAAAATTTAGAGAAACATGAATCTAAAGTATTCTATAACAAAATGTAAGTACAGTAATTATTATTATTTATTTTAGGCACAAGGGCAAAACAGGGCAATCCCTTTCAGTACAGTATCAGGATACTAAGGGTTTTTGGTCACTTGATAATTATTATAATATATACTTAAATAACTAATTAAGAAAAGGAAACATTTGTGTAGGTTTAATAATCGATTTATTGAAATTTTCAAGCAAATATACTTAAAATTAACAATACACAAAATAACCGTTTCTAATGCTGTTTAGTTTATTGTATAGGCTAGATATTTTTTTTTCAATATTACATACATATGTGCATTTTGTGACATAAAAATGCTGACTATTACATTGTAACCAATAAATTATACACACTAACCACTTGAGATAGTCTGTTGAACTCAACAGTGTTTAATTCTGAAAAGTTAATTGTACACAAAATACAGAATCTCATTTTAACAAACCCTAAGTTTTACATGCCTTGTACGGATGATCAAAAACCCCAAAATACTCAAAAACAACAGCCTTTTTTAGGGCCACCAAAAAGAGATTTGTTAGTGTCCTGTCTTACATATTTGCATTCAGCAGCAGCGTTGGTTGTGTCCAACGCACTGTTATAATCTAAAACCATGTGGACTGAGCGTGAAACTTTCATCGGTGCTCAAGTTAGCTTCGTGTGAAAAACTTGTCTGATCAAATTTTCTACACAAAGTTTACTAAGTTGGGTAGGCATAATTTTGCTTACGAAAGCTAACTGCTTGGCTCGCCCAGTGCAGTGCACATGCTTTTAGTTGGTCTCAGCAGGCCCAGACAACACTGCAGCTGTGTTGTTTAGAATAGCTATGAAAGGGTATTCCCAAGTTATACCTTTGTCATATAGCTAATCTTACAATATTTTCATGTTCTTTGGTTAAATAAAAGATATAAAATGATGAATTAATACACTAGACACATGATTTTATTTTAACACTTTACTATATGACATCGTAAAGTGATGAATAATGCTAATAAAAACATGGTTTTATCCGTAGGCCTAGGCAACATCGTTCGTTCATACATTTATTGAGTGTTGAATTTATATACAGTATGTAAATATTACATTAACAATTTATATATACAGTAAAATAAAGTTTCTTCATCGCATAAAGATAATGTTAAATCAGCACATTAAATACAGATATTGTTAGGGCTCATTAATCAGGTTCGTTTACACATTCATTATTGAATTTCATCCTGTTGAATACAACTTTAAAAAAATTAGGTGCTATGTGTTGGAAATTGTTATGTTTTATCCTCATTGTAGTATGTATGTACAGTATAGTATGAAGCATCGTAAAGCTTAAAAAGCAATACCATAATTTATATTCTAACATGCGTACAATACACCTGATCCATGTATGAATAGTGTCATTCAATAACTGAGTTGTGTTGTGATAGAAAAATGTATTGTTTCAGCGGTGATAGCCCAAGTTACACTTTAAATTATTGTGTGCTGGTTTTGTGCGGATCACTCTGGAAATTTCGTTACACTTGTTCTTATAATTTGATTTTAATATAATAATGCAGTTCACCTTCCAATTCGAGACCACTTTTTGGACACAACAAAAAAAACAAACAAAAACAAACAACAAAAAACAAAACAAAACAAGCACGTCATCTTTGTTGATATCTTGGATAACCCTCTAAATCCCAACACAGGATTTATTTCCAGAGGGGTCCCATTAAAAGATTGAAGATGGTTATTTGTAAAAAGTGGTATCAAATTGGAGGGTACACTGTATCCTAGATAGAAACAAAAAAAGCAAGCCATGCAATGAGGTGCTAATGAAATGAAGTATGAAGTGGAATTTGTGAAATCTCTGTCCAGATTTATGATACTGCTATTTGCATCCATTGTGATATGTAATGTAAACATAAAAATATAAATATGTATATATGCTGGCCTTAATGATTTGCAGGAAAGGAGATTATTACCGATACCTAGCAGAATTCGCACAAGGAACAGACAAAACGGAAGCAGCAGAGCGGAGTTTGGTAGCCTATAAAAAGGCTTCTGATTACGCATCTGCTAATTTAGCAACAACCCATCCAATCCGATTGGGCTTGGCTCTCAACTTTTCAGTGTTCTACTATGAAATCCTCAACGCCCCCGACCGAGCATGTAGGTTAGCGAAGCAGGCATTTGATGATGCAATAGCCGAGTTGGATATGCTTAATGAGGAAAGTTACAAGGATTCAACACTGATCATGCAGTTATTACGAGATAACTTGACTCTCTGGACATCTGACATGCAAGCAGATGGTAAGGTTACTTCCTATTGTTGAGTACCTTCTATAACAAGATAGTATGTCTTAATAAATACATATAAGATAAAGAGACTAACTTCTTAGGTTTTATTTAAGTATAATTATTAAAATATAAATTTCAGTTCTGTTAACGTTTCTACAGTATATACCTGTATTCTCGCCAAACAATGTGCAAACTAAAACGTTGCAAATTCAATATATGTAATTACAAGCAATACATTACAAATTGAATATATGAAAGGTGATTAAAAAAAGTTATGGCATAGGGATAAGCAGTGGCGTATCTAGGGGCTGCGCGGGGAAGGGGAACTACAAAATTACTTGTTGCCCCCTCCCCCCAGTCGCACCTCCCATAAATCACGGTCAAGTAGTTTAAAATCACCTTATTTTGCAATTTACCATCTCAACTGAATCATCAAGGCCCCTTCCCCCACACACAGACACACACACTTTACCTTAGCTTAGCACCCCCATTTTAAGAGTCTTAGATATGCCACTAGAGATAAGCGAGTATAAAAATATCTTAAAAGGAAAATTTTGGTGTTGGACACAAATGCTAAATGCCAATGTGTAAAAGGGCTGTGTAGCATGTTCAACAGCTAAAGCTCGGTTCAGACTGTAACAGTTTCATGTGACAAATATGTGTGGTTTGCTTATTTATGGGCATGATGATGATGATGTATCACACCCATATTTGGACATAGTGATGTCATATTACACCCATATATGGGCAAATCACAAGTATTTGTCACAACACTTGATATTGTAGACTTGAGGCTAGACTTTATTTTATACCTTGTTTTGCAAACTACCATCTAGGTGGTGGAGAAAATAAAAATACAGTTTCTATTACTTAATTAAACGGTGTGGTTAAATGAGATTGATATATTCTTGAAATTTACACAATTAAGAAATATATATATCTTATTTTTGGAGATTTTAAGGAGCAGGAGGGCATAATGATAATAAATATAAAATCTTTTTTTTTTTTGTAATGAAATGTCCTCTTTTTCGTAGCAGAGGTGCCTGAACTGGCCAAAAATAATATAAAATTTTTTATTCAAAATCACCATTTTTGGCGGTTGGAGGTTCGCTGAACAAGGTAATAAAAGTTTATCTCCTGATGTGCAAGTTATTTGTATCCTGTGCTGACTAATAACATATTTGATGTTGCAATTTTTCAGATAATGATAAGGGAGACGCCTTGCTTCAAGATGTTGACGATGGACAACAAGAGGCCTCATAAAAAAAAGCCTACAACACATCACCAATCCTAAGCTTGTTTCTTCTCCCTAGTTAATCATTACTTTATTTCATCTATATAGTTGCAACAGATAATTTTCCATCAATTTGTTATATAGATGATAAGTCAAATATGGTTGGGAGATATTACAAAAAAAGAAAAAATGAATGAAAAATTAAAAAAAAAAATGTCAAGTTGAGTGAAAGAGTTTTATACGTAGTATATGATTTAGCAGCCATGATTTTTCTTTGTTTATTAAATAGTATGTGGAACCTAATGTTTACAATTCAGCCCTGTATCACTATGTATTCACACATTACATACATAAACAGCCAATTTCCATTAGCCACAGTTATTGTGCATCCCAAGGGCTTTAAGTCTCTTAACACTGCATAGACAATCTTGAATATTATTGTTAATCTTATAACTTGGGTTGTTATTATGATATACTCTGATGAAATATTAAAACCAAAAGGATGAAAAGAATGTGATAATAAAAAATTGATGGTTTATGTCAGACAAGGTTGGTGGGTATGTAGGTAAAGAGGTTAAATTGAATAACCGCGCACGCCAGCTTAGCCCTGTTGACGATAAACTGTTTTGGTAACTTGCAATTAATTCATGCATACGTATAATTAATATATATATATATGTATATATATATATATATATATGTATATATATATACAGTATATATAATTATATGTGGATGTTGTTGCAAACCTACTCATGAAGTAGCATAGTAACGAAGGATGGCGGCTATAAACATGCAGTATAACTCATCAAGTAACAATATACGAGAATGCTTCACTTGCCTCATTGAAAATCGGATTTAACACAAATACTTTTTGAATGCTTCTGTGTTGTTAATCTTTGAATGTAAATAAATGGGTAGGCACAAACACATTTGTTTTGTTTGTGTTTACCTATTTATTTATACAGTAAGACATGCATGAATCCACATCAAAACCATCGATGCGTTACTTACATTTAAGAAAACCCATTAATTGCTGATATTGAGATATTGCAGGCTGAAAAATCAGTCAAATTTTTTTTAGCTATATATGCATATATATTTATATGTATATCCATATATATCTATATATACATGAATAAGTACACATTTTTAAATGTATTTGAAAATGTGTTCGATAATAAATTAGCATATTCAAGCATATAAAGCTAATAGTAAGTATGCCCCTTTTAAATACTTTGTCATTGGTAGTATGTACTAAGTAGTCTGTATTGTTCACTATTGATATATGTATGTAAACTGCAGCTAAATCTCCCCATTGTGTTGTCTGTGAGTAGATTCTTGTAATTGTCTTGTGTATTTCTAGGAACATTTCACATAAATATTTCTTTCCCTGCTATTTTTAATTATTATTTCCGAGTTTTAGTTCGCTTGTATTTTCCCAGTTTTATTCTACTGGTTTTTAACTAGTTTGGTTTATAAGTGATAAATTTAAAAAAAAAACAAATTATGTTTTTAATGAAATGTTTTGCACATTTGTGATTAAGATGTTGGACTCAGATGGCAAAAACAATTTTCAGTAGAACTTTATTAATACGAACATTATTTCGTGAAGAGAGCAATTTGTTTGAAGGTAATTTAATTGCTATTCATACTAACCAAAGCCAAGCTGTGGAGAACGAGACTGTTTTTAGATCCATGTTATCAGTAAATGCTTTGTTGTTGAATGAAAATATTGACAAGAATTAGTAAACCAATCTGGGAGATAAAAATACTAAGAGTTTGCAAAGAATTTAAGAAAGTTGAGTATATTGTTGGGTAATTATAAGTGCATCCTTAATTTATATCAAGATTTTGTTATACGTTTTTCGCTTCAAAACCTTTATTACCGTAGGTTTGTCTTTTGTAAATTAATTTTGTGCGCATTAATACCTATGTACCTGTGTAGTTGGGTATTGCAGTGAATACTAAATCTATCAGCTAAGAAAAAGTTCCTGTTTTAAATATAGAAAAATGGACCAATAAAATAAAGCAACGGCTACCACGTATTTCTTATCCCATGTGTGGTATCTTTTGTGCTTTCTTGGTTTAATTACAACTGCCATTTCATTGGTTCCTCTGCCAAGCGATTCATATTATAAAAATGGTCTTTCTGCTACGAATGCATATGTAAAGTCATAAAGGTAGTATACTTACCAATTCATTTTGAAAAGCATATTTAACTACAAAAAACAGCCAGCTTACCACTGAAGGAAATTTGTAGGTTAAGTGAACTTGGTAAATGCTACTGGTGGCGCTGTTTGTAATGTTTTCAAGCTACAAAAGCCACTTGCATGGAACTAAGTATCTTATTAGACTGTAGATGCATGTGGAATGATTAAAAATACCCAAAGATTTATTTGCCTTCTCTGCAGTTTTTGTGTCTATGCAAGTCAACAGATTAACACAGGAATTATGAAGCAGATTATTTGGGTTAAATAAGGCCACATCCCATTTTCCACTTGTGTTGTAGTTGATCTGTTTATAATTGTAATGTAAATATTGTAGCCACAGATAAGGCTTCAAAAATGTTCTCATTAGTTATAGATTCCAAATTGGAGAGTACAGTTCAGTATCAATATATAAAAATATATATAATTGTATATTGTTAATCTGCCCGTAAAAAAATTACATAAAATGTCTTTTGGGCATTTACTTCATACCATATGCATAAATATTGTACCAGTTGCCATGTCCAGGATTTCGCAAAAGGGGGTGCAGAATAGAAATATTGCATCTACTGAACACAAGGCGCAGCACTAAGGACGGTGCATATCAATGGCACCATAAAGTGGTTTTTTAAGGTCTTTTTGGGGGTGGGACAGGAGTGTCTTTCCTAGATATACCAACCAATATACAGTACAAAATCTGTCGGTAACAATTATTCATCACTTTAGATTTCTGTATACAGTATGCATAGCTGTGAGACTGCCTCCAAACTATTTGATGGTACAGTATTATGGCGACACTTCTAGTTTCACATTTTTCTGTTAGCTGAAAAGTTTCATTGGACAAGAGGTGTAGCAGATCTTGTTCTTGTCAAAAGAATTCAACAGATTGAATTATTTCCCAATGTATAAGAATTCTTGTCATGTGTCATAAGCTGTCCAATCATAAGTTGTAATAATCCATTTCAATCAAGAGAATGTGCAAAGCTTGGCATTTTTTGTAGATCAGAGTAATTTGAATATTATGCTACAATATCTCTCAATGCTGCACTCAAATGGGGTCAAGTTGGGTTCAATATGCAATGAATGTTGATCAAAGTAAAGGTAATGGTTCTGCATGGTAAAGCGTATTCCACATTTGAAATTGCCTCAACCTGCTTAAAAAAACATGCAATAACTAACTATGACAGAAAAAAAACATCCCCCACAACTAAATACAAAATAAACAGAAAAGCATGAGAGATACTGACCCTTATTTAATAATTTATTTATTAAACTATAATCACAAATGTTACTTGGACAGCAATGCTGAAGCAACCATTAAATTGTTAAAACAAAAACCTGAAACTGCACTCAACGCAGTTTCCAATTTGGTTAAAACAAGAAAGAACAGAAATTTCAAAAATTTTGAATTTTATTTTGCAAATAAATACTGTAAAATAATGTAAATAAATGGCTTATTAAATATCATTCCCCTATTGAAAAAAAACCCCAATAACAATAATGCATAGCTAAAAATGCCTGAGAAAGCCTAATAAAAATTGTGGTACATGTTAAAAATCTCCCAAGTAAAAATAATCAGGTCATTCAGATTTTAAAAGTCCCATGGATCCCTGTAACTGTAAAATAATACTGCACTATTTTTGGAAACTGAAAACATATAATAAATTACGCATACAATTGATTAATGTTAATAGTGACACTCAATTGATAAAACTTGTTTAAGATATATTTAACAATAGTATGTCGAAAACATCAAAAGTCTAATACAGTAATGGCATGGTGAAAAGTTCAAAGGTCTAACAATGGCATGTTGATATTGAAGTCTAAGTGATTAAAGTACCAGTATAAAGTAACGTTGAGTTCTACTTCATAATTTGAATCCTGAAAGTGCAAGTCCCATATGCGGCGCGCAAGCAGCTCAAGAAATCTTCCAACATCCAACCGGGTGGTCTGAACCAATGACCTTTGGCCACAATCCTAGAGTAAAACTTCTGCCAGTGAAAAATGGTGATAGATTTTCTTTCTAGTATAGGATGTTAAAATTTTTTAAACAATACAGTATTGGAAAATACCATCACAATCACAAAAGTGCTGTCCAACAACAGAAAGTTCATGTTTGTTAAATTCCAGTATGGAATCTATTTCACAGAATCTAATGCACTGGCTTCTTACAACTACTTTAACAAAGAAAAATAAAATAAAATATTTTTTTCAGGAATCAATTTAACGTAAATTCAGTAACACAAGAAAATGTATGTCTGTCATGTCTGTGAAATTTATGCGAGAATGTTATGTAAACATACAAGACTATGATCTGGAATAGTACTTTGCACCATCTTACTACAGTATAAGAGAAACTATAAGATCGCATAATAGAGAATTCTCTCTGTTCCTAAATCAACTTCACTTTGGATTTGTTTCTATAGAGAATATATTGAACAATGTTAAATCTCTTATAAATATATTAACAAGAAACATACACAGAGACAAACTTTAAAATCCCTGAATATTTTTTAAAATTATTAACATTGTGCAATATCATTTATGTTATAATTATTAATTCTAATATATACCTTGCCTACCTCAAAAATCTGGTGTAATTTTTTTTTTTTAAATAATTTTCATATTTAGAATGAAGAAAATCTATAGCTTCTTCCATTTAATCCCTTCTTCATTCTAATTTGCAATTATTCTATATTTTTTTATTTTCATAATAAATAATTAAAATTCTGGATTTTTATAGCGCCTCACGTTGTCACAACCCCGGGGCGCTTAACAACAACATAAGAGAAGAAAATAAACCATAAACAAATTAACAGACAATAATATATAAGACAAGAAAGTAATGTATACATGTACCATTAATTATTCATAAATTTATTAAGCTATACATTAAATTTATAATAATGTATACATTAAGATATACTGTACTGTCAATTTTTGTTTTAATAAATTAAAAGTCCAACTCCCAATTTCAATAATATACAAATATTTCCTTTTTTATCCTTATTTATTACAAGCCAATTTAATGGTCTATGTATTAGCTTAAAACAGAATGTATCATCCGCTGGGGACACATGAGGCAACTGTTATTGGACGACTCGATTCCATAGAGAAAGCAACACGACGAGCTGTGCACACTGGATCGTTTTCAATAACGATCTGCTGAGACTACCACCAAAAATCAGGAGGTAGCAGCACATAATGCAGTGTGTGCCCGGCTTAATGATGTGTACACTTGCCATGCATGGAGAAACAGTACAAGATCAGGGAGAAACAGGTAAAAAGGATAGTGCCTGCCTAAAGCAATTTCAGTCCGCTGATAATCAGTGATGGTGTCAGGATTTGCCCAATGGGTGTCTAATGTTTCCGAAGGTTGATTTCCCAGATGGAAGCATACAGTAAGTGGGCAGGTCCAGCCCACACCCCCTCACAGGGGCCCTGAAACTCCAACAATTTAGACCTATTCAATCAATTATAGACTTGCATTCTGTAAAAATTACATAATTTTTCTCTCTCCAACGAATTGGTTTTTTTCTCCCCACAGGAGGGCACTGGCGGCAGTCCAAGCGAATTGTCATTCAAAATTATCCCTCGCAAGGCGTGTTATTGCGTCATGCTCAGAGAATTCTATCAGCTACTTAAGGCAATAGAGGAATAACTGAAAAATATCAATGGATTAACTAGGACAACAAACATAACTTTATGCACTATATACAAAGGTTAATATAGCGAAGAGTACAGATTAATAGATTCTATAGTACTCAAATTGTGTTTTGTTTTTTTTGCATTCACAAACTGTAACAGTTGCATGAATATTGAGTGTACAATTACAAGCAATACTATTTATAAGTAATTCAAATTTTGACTATGGAAATCCTTAAATTGATTACCTGCCACATTAAGGGTCTATGCAAAGAATATAGGAATGGTGTTTAAGTGTTCGTTTGGCATAAAAATAATGTTCTCATTCTAATTAATATTCAATTGATGGCTAATAACTTACTTAAATATATAAAGTAAGTAATTTAAATATTGAATTAATGTTTTTTAGTTCTACAAAGGCAGTATATTTGAACTTTCAATTAGAATGCTCTATTTCAGTAATAATTACACATGGATATAAAATACATTGAATTATTCAACCATCTTGCACCGGGTATGACAATTACTTTACGACCTTTATGACAACGACCTGTATGACAATGACCTGTATGACAACGACCTTTATGAAAACGACTTGTATGACAAGGACCTTTATGAAAATGACCTGTATGATGACGACCTGTGCAACCACTTGATTAATGTCAGCATGAATCAGGGGAGCTGCTTGCAGGGAATACTAATACACTTTCCAAGGCAGGTGCTGAACTGGTGGCTTCAAATGAGTTAGGATTGACCTCACTTGAACTTGAACTAGAATTCAGCTGCTCACTGCTGCCATCAAACTGGGTGTGCATTTCTGTAATTATATCAAAAGGAAGTTTCCTTTAAACAGTACCTTCCTTTATCATTTCGGTCCACAGAATTGGCCTTTTTTGTTGGCCACTACAGCGCAACTTGTAATTATCAGTTACATGCATTGTCATTGTTTAATTTAGACAGGGATTCTAAGTTAGAAAATTTGCAGGCACAAGATTTTGTAAAATTACACTCCTATGGGTATGTGGATTGATCCATCCCACTCCACCCACCTCAGCCCCACCAAGGTTGGGGCTGAGGTAAGAAATTTTATGATTATGGAACCTCTAGATTGCTGGAAATGACACTGTCAGACTTAAATTTGAATACAATTTTTTTTTCTCCATTATTTTTTTTTTTATTTTGAAAAATTTAGACGGAGACCCCACCTTTCCCCCTGAATCTGCATATTTCACAATTTTTTTTACACTGGCATGAGCTTGCAGTGTGTACATACGCGCCCCTTGATCTGACCCGACAGCACTTTATAAAACAACATATCTACAGTGTTAGTGCTAGTTGGTATGATGTTACCATGATATTTTAAGTACTGTAGACGGAGAATTTTTAGTAAGTGGGCTACAGAAAGGTCACATATAGTACACACATAATTATTTAATAATATAGGCATTACATTTATGCGCGATATTTTGGTCCTTAAGCGTGAGAGATCCCAAATGAGTGAGTCATGCATGAGACTTAGTATGTATGCATGTTCAGATGCTGAATACTAACCAGTTCTATTGTATTGCTCTCCATCTGCCATGGCCTCCGCCAAGTTGTACTTCAAAGCATCCTCTGGAACTTCTGGGCTACTGCAACTCACTTCAAGTAGATGTGGCATCTGATCAAAATTTCCTATTTAAAATGAAATGTTTTTGAACATTATTGTTTTCATTGTTGCCAACATTTGAATAGATAAATAACTGAATTAAATATTCTAATATAAATCACTGAGGGTTTTACCATGTGGTAGCTGTGATCTTATTATACTGTAGGATGCTTTTTCGTGGGTTCTATATGGTAGCTATATTATGAGGTGCTTGATGATAGGTTTTGCAATGGAAGCTGTGACCCTATTAGGGAATGCTTATGGATAGATCTTGCATTATAGCTGTGATCTTATTGATAATTTTGCATGGTAGCTGTGATTGGTAGGTTTTGTGTGGTAGTAGTGATCTTATGGGCTGCCCATTGACAGATTTGTGCATGGTAGCTGTGATCTTATTATAGTATGCTTTTTACTGATAGATTTGTGCATGGTGGCTGTGATCTTATTATGGGATGCTTACTGATAGATTTGTGCATGGTATCTGTGACTATTATGGGATGCTTACTGGTGGATTTTTGCATGATAGCTGTGATCTTATTATGGCATGCTTACTGGTAGATTCGTGCATGGCAGCTGTGACTTTATTATGGGATGTTTATTGACAGATTTGTGTATGGTAACTGTGATCTTATGGGGTGATTACTGATAAATTTGTGCATACTAACTGTGATATTATGGGATGCTTACTGGTAGAAATGTGCACGATAGCCTTGATTTTATTATGCAACATGTATTGATGGATTAATTTGTGCATGATAGCCTTGATTTTATTATGGGACATGTATTGATCATAGAGCTATTAAACAACTAGAGTGCTAACAAGATGGCGCAGCAATGCAGAGTTATGTATGTGTACCATCCAAGATGGCCGTCGTAGTAAAGCGCCACCTTCAGGCTTAATATACATATTATTACATTTTAATAAGCCCTCTGACTGACTATTATTTCATTAATGATAATGAGTAATGATAATAACAAATTATCAAACTATTGTAGCCAAAACAAGGCCAAGTGGAGCATCTTATTCAAGAATAAAGTACCAAGTCAAATTAAAATCGTGTACATTACACCCAAACACCGCAACGCTCGAGTTTCAAACATACGGATAACTAGCTGTACCGAACTTTCTGAGTAAATTGAGGGCGCAATTGCAAACGATGGTGCTGAGCGAATTTTGATTGGCTAAATCTGTGGCAGCCATCTTGGATGGTACACACACACAGTTCTGCCTATTTCGAACATCGAATACATTGCGGTTAGCTCTCTAGTATTCTTATTATACCTCTATGGTATTGATAGATATGTGCATTGTAGATGTGATCTTACTATGGGATGCTTACTGGTAGATTTGTGGATGGTAGCTATGATTTTATTATGGGATACTTATTGACAGGTTTGTGCATGGCAGGTGTCATCTTTAGGGATGTAAATTCTTATATACCTGCTGGAAATGTAAACATCCCAAATTTACCATCATGTGATTGGCTGTGTACCCAATTGCAATGTGGACTCACTTGTTACAGTGTAATTGATACACAAATGTGACAATTTATATTTGAATACAAAGAGTCAATGCTGCTGATGCTTACCTGAGCCATATTCTATAAATGTTGGTAGTGAATTCATTTCATCCATGTGGCAGGCATCAGCCGTGTTCTCCTTACTGCTGCGTGGAGTTGGCATTGGTTCAGATCTTGGCTGCAAACTGAAGCATGTAAACTAATTGTTATGGTACTATGACTTCAGGATACCAAATTTTCAATATGCATTGTAGGATTTTATAAACATAAAAGCTAAAAAGTTGGCTTACTCAAAAATTAAAATAAGACAAGTTCGACTGGCAAAACTCACTTCAATGACTGCAAGTCATAGAGATCCTCAGTCTCCAAAGCGATGTCAGTGGATTCCAAACTCTGTGGCAGTAGTGCAGGGGAATGTGAGCCTAGAACTGTAGTAGTTGTCTGCGGAAAAGGCTTGAAGTGGAACTGTGGCCCCATCCACAGACGTCGGTGAGGACCAGCATGTGTGACCATCTCTACTTCCTCCAGCCACTGATCATCAAATTCATCTTGAATACTGTTTGAGGAAGTCTGGCTCCCGGATGGACTTTTACCATCACTGCTAACTGAACCTTCAGAATGAAAACATAATTTCAATAGCAGAATTAAGATAAAGCAGGCTTTTTTTATTCAGTTTCAGATACCTTACAATAAAATTCACATTGACATCAACAAATATAAAACATTTAAAGCAGATAGGGCAGTGGTTACACCAGCATTTTCCTGACGGGGGGTCCGAGGTCCCCGACGAAAAAAATGGTTGGGTATCGCCCTAAATCACTCGAAAGTATTCCAGGGGGCAAAGTCCCCGAAAAATATGACAATTTTGGGGTTTCAAAGGCTTATTTAATTGATTTTGGAGTCTACTAATATGTGGAAAATACATATACATTTTTTTTGTGTCCCTGATGAATTGGGGTTTCTCCCCAACGGGGGCCCAGGTCTCCCTGGCAACCCCTCTGGCACCACCCCTGAGACAGGGAGCTAGCACAGACCATCAAATGCTAGCCCCCAGTAAAGTACCAAATGGACATTGATGGATGGGTAAATATTCAATGAGATTTTGGTAATGACATTCTGCACTTGATATCAGACAAACCAAATGTAGTAACTAATTGTTACAATAGGCATTTACCTGATGGAGTAGAATCCAGTTGACTAGATGGGTTACTAACCAATAAAGGTGGTCTTAATTCTGCCCAATTGCTACCTCTGTCAAAATGAAGCAGAACTACTTTAAATTACATTGTCAAATGTGTACAAAAATCCTCCCCTTATCTAATTGGATAAAGTTCAGCCTATGGACATCAAAACTGTGTACATTTTCAATAAAATTATCAGAGGTATTTTCGGCATAAATGTTGTAGGCATAATTTCATTTCGAAAACAGGTACAATTATACATAAATTTATAGTGTTTTTTTGATTGATCTGATTTAAAGAATTGCATAACAATTTATTTCATTATCATCTTTTTATCAACTATCAATAAAACATTAAAAACTATGCGACACAATACTGTTATTCTGACCTTTGAAGATGCCACTGAGCATGTGCAGTAGTTTGAAGTTCAAGCGGCGAATCATCAGCTTTCTTGGTGTTAGTGCTATTTGCTGGATGGGGGTCAAGATGGTATTCTACTAACAGTCCATGATGACCCATTATATAGAGAGATTCCACCATTGAAGCTTTCACAATTTCTGATTCAAAAACAAAGATACATTTAACTCTGCAATAATTACTGTATTTATTTGAATAAACACCCTGCTATGAATAAACGCCCCCTCCAGAGTCTAATTTGGAATAAATGCCTCCCTCAAATAAACGCCCCAGGGCATTTACTTTTTCCTCGAATAAACGCCCCGCCCCCTTCCACCAACCCTAAATAATGCTCAATAAGTCGACCATTATTATTATTATTATTATTGTTGTTGTTATTAGTATGTGTTGTAGCTCCATTTGACAGTGAAATTAAGGGGTGTTTATTGAGTATATACGTCGTCAGAATAATATCTGTATAATTTTAATTGAAGGGGGATGCAGAGGACCGAGAATACTGTACTGGAATAGATCTTACTGAGGGGCCTGCCATCCAGAAAAACACTACTGATGATGATTACACCATGGATACCATATAAGCCTATGGTTCAATAATTTAGGAGTGGAGATTTCCTGTTTTTTGAAAGAGTTATCTTACCCACAAAGCTACAGCCCCATGTCATGTGCTACTTACCAGGTTTCTCTCCAGGGAGCTTAGGACTGCTTGGGTATGAACCCTTACATGATGAAAAACATGCACACACACCCATCAGGTCACCTGTTTGTGTACCATTGCCAGCGCTATGTGGGCGGCCAGAGCTAGATGTCATCCCAGCTAGTGTCGTTGGCTGCTTGATTTGGGCATAAGGGGTTACAACCACAGGTTGTGGAAAGGGGGGTAAGCGAGGGTTTCCAAGGTTAGCATTCAGGGCATTGTTGTGGGTTAGACTTGGCACAGAATCTTGGCTATGGAAACCTGCTGGAAAAAATAAAATAAATAAATAAAAAACTTATTAATTTAAAAAAAATTTATTTAATTACTATTATTAAATAAATAAAAAAATAAAATAAATAGTGAACTATAAAAATATAGCTCTTAAATAACAGTAAAAAACAAAACATAATACAAACATTAAAAAAGGCAAAGGCATAGCTCAACAAAACACATAAACGAGTCTACAAGAAGTATATCTAGTAACAGGTCAGATGGAATTCGGTCAATATCCTTTCTCCCAGTAAACTTATAGCGTGTTACCACCTGTCTGTGAGTGGTTGCATCTCCCGGCCACTTTCCACATGATTGCATTAGCACAATAGCCATTGCTCTCCAATCCTTTGGAATTGTGTTACAACAGGAGTCAACTAAATTTCAATATAAGTAAGGTATTTTGTATATGAAATGGAAATATGTAAGTAAAATTGACAAATTAAACTATGAACCTTGAGAGGTTGGACTGCTGGATAAGCTTGCTACATTTCTCTTTTCTGATTTCTGAATCTCTTCTAAACCAGCACTTTTATGAAATCGACTTTCTTTGTTAACTATTTTAGGAGCGGTGTGTGTTCGAATGCCTACAGAACCACCGTAAGGTGTGATCGGAAAAACATGCGATGTTTCACGCATCGTGCTGACACAAATCCAACGACTGTCATTAGTAAAGCAAACATCTTGCACCTGAAAGAAATAAAAATAATAAATGATTTTTCTTTAATCTGCTATCTTAGTACCAGATAAGAGCTTTTTTTTAAAACATATTTTTTCTTTATACTGGGGTTACCTCTACCCTCCCCCTCCCCCCTCCCATATTCCAAATTTGTGTACCCCTAAATATTTGAGTGACATTAACTCAGAATGACATTCCCATTTTCAAATATATATGATAATATTTTTAATATAAAAACTGGGGGAAAAAGGGAATTAAACACCACTCCTGATATTCTTAAAACAACATATCAAAAATATTTTCTGTCCAGACCCTGGCTTTAATCACTGAATTCACTTTATTATAAATTCATAGTTAGATGAATAAATTTGAATCTGAATTTGAACATTTACAACCATTTACTAAATACCATCTGGTGCATCATGAATGCTGGTATCACAAACCTTAGCACTGGTATCGCCTCGATGTAGCACGTACAGATGATGGACTGAACCTAGACTGGATCCACAGGGATGGCTCATTACCTTGAATACGTTAAAGTCATGGCCTAGCTTATCTGCTGTGAAGAGTAACGTACCACTCGGGTCAAAGGCTAGTGCTGAAATCGGGTGAGAATGGTGGGCAGGAAAATGTGCAATTAAACCTTCCTCACTGGTGTCATTCGTTAAGTTGAACTGTGGGGGAAAAATATATTACAATATATATTTATACTATGCACAACAAAAGCAACTAGGCGGTTGGCTGAGAGGTATTCTTCCCGTGTCTTGCGCTAAAGACCCCGGTTCAAACCTGGCCAGCTTCTGTTTTAATTAGTCTGATCAGTTGTTTCCTTGAATAACTCTCATTGAGTTAGGTGGGTTAAGGACAATGTATGTGGCCATTATATGTTGTAGTTAAATTGGGTGGCACTGCCTTTGTGGCTGCAACAGGTTCCCAGAGGCCCAAAACAAATTTCTCAAAAATAAAGAAGTAAGTGCAACAGGTGGGTAGTGTGAGTATAGATATGAATAATTTCAATAGATACTTAATGATCAAGTTATGAACAGTAGCCCAATGTCCTTAATGGAACATAAGCTTACAAGGCCAGGGCCTGCAAAAAAAACCAAAACAAAACAAAACAAAACAAAAAAAAAACAAAAAAAAACCCCTTGATATGTATGAAGGACTTTAACATTTAATTGATTTTAAGCTGGTTTTCCACTAGGCGAACTTATTCACGCGAATCAAAGCATCGGTTTGCTTCCTGAGCTCTGATTGGTCACGCATTTTTTCGCTTCGCAAAAACTCCGATATAAATGTGAACGCACATGCGCATGAACCAACGCTTTCAATTCGCACTAATAAATTTGCCTTGTGAAAAACCGGCTTAAGAGTCTCATAATCTGTAACAGATCTTCTGAGGGGGAGTTGGGTATGTGGAGAAACAAAGTAAATATTCTTCGTTTCTTACCTCATCTGTGATTGAGTTGGCATCAATTATTGTGACAATTCCAGGAACTAGGTTTTTAAGAGAGGAATTTGGTCCACGGTCTTCTGCAGCTTTCTCATTGTTTGTATTTGTTCTTGGTGGGGAATTTGAAAGCTTAGTGCTTGCTAAATTACCAACAGTTTGACCAAACATGGATATGCCCTTAGTTATTGTCTGCAATAAAAGGATTTCGAAAAATTACGATCCTGATATGGTACTAACAGTAATAAGGATGATAAATGCTTGCGATACACCACATAGTTATCTTTGTGGTGTACCACAAGCTTTTATCATTGTTACTTAAACATGCAAACATTCAATCAATTACGATAGTGTTATTAATACTGTAAATTTAAATACATTTTGTTATTGGGTATTTATATATTTCTTTTTCTTTAGGTTATGAAGCACCTTGTTTTCCCTGGTTATTGGGTCAACATGCTTAAGTGTTGCTGCGATATTGGCGCAGCAGCAGGCAACCCCACCAGGTACCCATTTATACTCCTGGGTGGAGAGAAGCAACGCAGAGAAAGTGCCTTGCTTAAGAACAAAAGCGAAGCGCACAGCGAGGGATTGAAACCCCGACCTCGAGGTTGGGAAACAAAAACGATTTCCGCAGCACCAAAACGCTTCCACGAACATAATTATTATTACCTTGGCAGCATGTATGACTGTTGCAGTGTAGGAGTACACCCCTTCATTGCATATACCCCCTCCTGACTGATGCCTGGATATAAGCTTCCTATCAGCATAGGCCAACCACCTTGATGATAGAGCTAATGGGTTAAGATTCGGTGGTCCGCTGGGATAGCATGTTGTTATACAGAAACGTTTCTTGAAAGTCACTGCATCAAACGCAGCAACTTTCTCTTGCAGGGCTACAATAAGGATTCTACATGAAAAGATATCAGGTAATTAATCAACTTGCAATAGTGAAAATAACTTGTATTAATTCTTAAATACTGGCAATTTTAGCAGAGGTAAAAATATATAGTGCTGTATTAATTGGTACATATTACATACAGAAAATTATATTGATAGCTAGAGGTAATGGCATTACAAATTTAACAAATATAAATATATAAAAGAGAAAAATAGAAAATAAGATATAAATATATAATACCTTTTGTTACAGATTATATCACACACTGGAGTTTGGAATGATATACTGTGAACTTGTTCTCCTGACTTTAATGACTGCATTGAAACAGAACAGAATGGCTGAGCTGAACTGGAAACACAAGATAAACATAATGATAAGCACTACAGCAAAAGTTACATAAAAACAGGAAATGAAATTATGCAAGATGAAGCTACTATAGTCAGCACGAACCACACCCAAATGCAATTTAGTTACGTATCTATATAAATACCTACATCATTATTATAGACATCCTTAAAATATTACTATTATTATACTATAACTTACACAAATTAATTGTTTTGTAGAGTAAAATATCAAAGTTTCAATGTGAGATTCCTTTTCCTTCCAAAGGGTGGTAAGGTTTATGGCCAGAGTGTCAGATCTTGGGACAGGAAGGAGAACCACCTCTCAAGCCTCCCCCTTGAACCATGTCCACCTGATCTCTTCCTCGGGTAGAAATATGCTTGGTCCACCCCCTAGTCAAACTTACCCAGTACCATCACAAACTGCTATCAGTGGCCTTTTCTCCAGCTGATTGCTGTCTTGTTGGCAGAATGGTTTCGGTAGAACCCTGAGAATCCTAATGGGACCTTGCCGTAGAGACATCAATTCATGGGCTTCACCACTTTCCTGAAAATTACATTAATGGTTTTGATTAAAAGATTTAAGAGGCTCTTTTACATTCACTTGTTTCAACTTACCACATGACTTGGGTAATTTGACCAAAGAGAATATTAGCAGGCTGTTCACACTGGATTTTTTTGGTTGAGTTTAACCAAAAAAATTTAAATTCCAACAGGTCTTTAAGTCAAGCTCCGGAGGAAAAAAAATGTTGATATGTTGTACAACTGATTTTTCTAAGACACAAAAAGCATATTTGACAAAAAACTCAGGAACAATTAATGAATATACAAATTTTAGAATATTTAAAAACTTGGGGGGGGGGGAAGGTGGAAAAAAGAAGTGGTTATTCCCCTTTTTCCCCAGTTCACAAAGATACCAGCCACATTGTAATTCAAAATTTTTTTGATACACAATTATTGAATAATATTAATCTTTTATATTTCATTAACCATTTATAAATTGTGAAGGAAATTCAAAATGAATGAAAGTTTAACTTACTGTTAAGTGCCAGATCTGAGCCCCATTTGAGTAGCCTATGATAAGTAGCACCAGGCAATGGTCATTATCAAACACACAGCTCCCACAGTAGCCTTGCAAGTCTTAATATTAGAAAATGAATCATGGTCAAGAAAGGAAAGAATCTTATATATATCCAACAAAATAAATACAAATAATAATGTATACATAAAATTTATATAAAATATTACCATAAAATTGTTTATACAATTAAAACTAAATTCATTTCATTACTGAATCAAATATTAGATGTTAGTTATGATTTATTATAATTAAATCAAATATCCTAATTATAGTAATAATTCATAATAATAATAAAACATTTTTTAAATAAAAAATTACAGATCTTGGTAAAGGCAAGTTGAATGACTGAGCGGTTAAGACAGGGTTGCCGCAACGTACAGCCGTAATATCGACTCTGGTTCGAACGGCACGCTTGCCTATGGTTTAGGTGATGGAACAAGTCTTCTTGGATAAGGACTCTAAACCGTAGGCCCAGTGTACACAATTTGGTTCATGTGCATTTTGAAAAACCAAGTAGATCTTTTGAGACGATAAGGCGGTTACTCCTGTGTACTAGTCCATACAGACCCTGCTGTGGACGGACGAGAGATAGCTTGTACCGGTTTACCGCTTTGGTCAGACATGAAGAGACCTTCAGTACAAGCTAATCCACACTACGAGCGCTTTGAGATTTGCTTTGAAAGTGCTATACAAATTAAACTACTGTACATTACATAGATCTTGGTATACATTTTCATATCGGGCACGATTGCTGTTCTAGCATTTGGCCATTTTAGGTCATCATCATTTTGTGGTTTTGTCTATGAACAAAAAAGTACCATCATACCATGTGTGTTGAGATTTTCAAATCTGACCCAAAGGATCATTTCCTTGTCATCAGTTTTCTGTCCACCAGAATATGCATCATGTAAAAAGTCAACTACACTGGACATGTATGACTTGTCACTAAAACAAAAATGTAGTTGAAATATTTAATCAAACTTAATATTAGAGGAAGTCCGATATACAGTAACACCAGAGTTTAGTACATTAATACTGTCACTATGTAAAGTACAAAATTAGAAATATTTAATTCATGTCACATGATCACCATTCAAAAACAAAGCTTATTCAAAAAAATGAAATTACCACAATTAATAATTAATTTGGCTCAGTTGATATAAACCATGGTGTAATTTAATTTCATACTTTAGTACCTGTAGACGCCAATCTTACAACTTTGTAAGTCAATATACAGTAGACTTTAAGATTGCTCATAACAATGAATAATATAAGTACAGTAATAAAATGACAGGTTATTATACCAAATCTATAAATTTAATCATTGCCTTATCAATTGCTGGTATACATTGCGAGATATCAATTGTAATAATATTCAAGCAATAAAGTAACATACTTAGCTAAATTCATCTTGATTAAAGTGTTTATAATACACTATTAAAATATAGTAAAAAAAAAACCTTTTTTTTATTTAGCAAAATGGTCTACTAAAATTATCTAGGCAGAAGAGGAAACAGAAGTAAAACTTCGATGATGAAAAAAAAAAAAAATATGAGTGTGCAAGGTAAAAGGTAGGCCTAACTAATTAAAGGTACCAATAGGCCCTTGTGAGATCCACTGCATTGTCCTGCAAAAAAACCTTGGTCTCTAAAGTGTTCATTAATTGGAGGGAGACCTGTATATATTTAATTCAGAGGAACAAATGAACATTTTACCGAGAAATATAATGGCAGCTTAAGCCCCCGCCCCCTGCCACCTCGCTGGCACCGCCACTGCTCCTCCACCCTCCCCTAACTCACTGAAAAAAATAGAGGCGGAAAAACAAAAAAACTTAAAAAAAGGTTTTTTTAGCTTTTTTCTTTACAAACAAAATAAATGTGAGTGAATTTATCTTTATTTTTTGCCAGATTCCCTACAAATTAGTCTTAAAGTTGTTGTCTGATGTAAGATATTGCCATTCTATGCCTCTGTGGGTTATTTTTATTCTATCTGATGAGTATCTTAACAAAATAAATAAATTTAAAAAAAAAACTTTTTCCACAAACCCCTATTTATCATTTTTTAAAAAGAAAGGTAAACAAACAATTTATTTTTGTTGGCCTGATTTCAAATAAAAACAAAATTTTATTTTTGGCCAATTAGCACACCTGCTGCCATGAAAAAATGGAAATTTATGAAAAAAAAATTGTTTTTTCTTTTTTCTTTTATTATGCCTGCCACTGCCTTGAAATCTCCAAAAATAATATACAATTTTACCATCCCAATTACATTACTACACTGTTTTAACATTCACCTAAAGTTTTATTTTTATTTTCTCCTCCGTCTGTGGATGTTTTGCAAAACTAGGCCTATTACTAGCCTAGGCCTTATTTGAAAGAAAACAAAATATTTTAATTTTTTTTCTGCCCTCCTCTGACAATCTTTAAAAAAATAAGTTCGCGAAACAAGGTTTTAAAAAATAGTCTCGCCTTACAAATTACATCATGTACTTTCCTGAATCATAGGCTAGGATATCAATGATTACTATTACTAAAATACTAGTTACTAGGCCTAGACTGAACTTACAAAGAGCCAGGCCAGAGCTACCTAAAGCTAGGGTCCCCAACTCGTCCTAGGACTAGGTCTAGTTACTAGTAAGTATAGTAGCCTACGTACGATAGTAGAGTACTCTATTAAGCTAGGCCCATCCATAGTATTGAATAATGCCTAGGCATAGTCTCCTCTAATCTACTAGGGGCTACTGGAGTCTCATGACAGTGACAAGATAGGCCTCTACTACTAGGCCTAGGGCCTAGCTAGGCCTAGACAGAAAAATAAAGGCTACCTTGCAGGCTGTGGGCGTATCACAACAATCCCCGATTTTGAAGACCTTCTTGGTGAAGGGAAAGACATAATGAATAGTGATGGCAACTGATTATATATCCCAGAGACGTTGTTTACATTTTCTATTACATGTTTTATGACATTCGATTATTCACAACAACAGCAACAGCTGACAATTCCTTTGATATTATGCCTAACACATCAGTACGTCACTTCTGCTGCATAGCTAACCTAGCTGTTGTTGTTTTGTTCGTCGTCCGTTTTTCTGTTATTTGACCCACCACGGCCCATATTTTATAGCATGTTCATATTTTATGAATGTTTATAAAAAATACGTTTATGTAAACAAATATTAAAAGTTCTGAATAAATTTATTATTTATTCTGTATATATTTTAGGGGTTTCACATTTTTTATATAAGTAAATAAATTTTAAGTAAACAGTAACTTTGCCAGGTCTGTAGAGAGGTTACAGTATTACATCCCGGAAATAAAGAATAACAATTACAATTTTAGATAGAAGATCCGTCATCGGCCAATTATTTATCAAAGATAAGGGCAGTTGATTCTCGTGCTGTGTGTGGGTTTGGAGAAAAGGACATTTAGTATACTGATAAATATATATTTTTGTTAGTGAACATGTCCTCAAAAGGAATAAATCCGTTCGAAGATGACCTAGACGATGACACTTTCTTGAGCAGCGGGCGTTCAAATAATCATGATCGTGATTGGGAGAGTGAAAATGCCTCAAACATTCGCAGCCAGATTGATAGACATGAACATTCTATGTTAGAAAGCACGCAACGGTCGCTTGGTGTTCTGTACCAGACGGAAGAAATAGGCAATGAAACTGCAGAGGTAAGTAAAAAATACTGTACGGGTGAGGTATCCCAACTCGCCACAACACAACAAATGAATTCGAGTTGACTTACTTATGTATTTGAATGAATATTTAGAAGGATGATTTTAATGTTTAATTAATGTACTTTTTTGTTAATTTTTTCTCAATTCAGTTCTGCGAACTGCAATGAAAAAGTTTTATTTCAATGAAAAAAGTTTTATTTTAATAAAGATACCTTGATATATGTACTTGCCAATTTGATATGATGCGGCCGACCGAGTTGATATGATGCGGCCGACCGAGTTGATATGATGCGGTCGACTGGCTTGAGGATGTGATGTGGGGGGGGGGGGTTGTGACTTGGGAGATGTGTTGACTGGGGCTGGGTTGACCTGCTTCCAACATGTACCAGTCAACCAGACATTTCAGCCATGGTCATTGCAGGAGTCCCAAGTAGGATGAAGTCATTTCCGGAAATACCCTCTCAGACTTAAATTTGAATATAATTTTCATTTCTCCCTGGCTTCCCCCTCCACTAAATCCACTACTGATCTGGTTAATGAGCATGACTTCTGTGAGAAAATTGATATTAAAGCAGTGAAAACATGCAAAATTATGAATTTGCGGAGATGGGTTAATTTCCGGAAGATCTTTACATCCTTGCCAGAGTGCAGGAGTCCGTACCGATTTCTGGGAGATTCCCTCGAGTTCTGGGAGACTTGGGATCCTTATCATTGGTCAACGAGTCAGACCAGAGGGGACCAGGGTCCCAAGTCGCCTCAGGAATTTTCCCTAACAAATTTCCCCTGACATACACAGTCATTCCCTAATAAACAAGTTTGTTAGGGGGAGAGTTTGTAGGCGAGTTCAATAGGAGGCGAGTTTTTAGGATCGTTTGAAGGAGGTGACTGTTTATGGGTGGGGACGACAAGTTTCTTGGGCTAAAGTTTGGGGTTACTGTCCACTATACTTATCTCCTTAAAAAATGTTGGAAATTTGCTTATATTTTTATGCCTTGCCTTATTTACAAACAATACATCAAATGCATTTGAATAGCTAATAAAAGTAAAAATATTTTTTTGTGTAAATAATGTTCCAGGAATTGTTGCGACAAGGAGATCAGCTTCGCCGAACAGAAAAAAAGGTTGATAAAATTAATGCAGATTTGGACACTTCACAACGATATGTCACATCTTTGAAAGGCATATTTAGTGGCATGCGAAATTATTTCCGGCCAGCAGTTAAAAAAGATCCAGGATGGGAAACCCAGGACGATAAAAGTCCAAGCAAACTACAGAGGACTGTAGACAATGCTAATACAGCATCAATGGCAACTTCTTCATCTTTTGATCATCCTGGTTTACGACTGCGTGATCCTGAAGCAGCTCAGATGTACGGCCAAAGACAGTCATCAAGCACAATTAACAAGGCAGTTGATGAAAATATCGGTGGGTTTTCATTTATTTTGGAAATCAGCTAAAACCTAATTTTTAATATTTTTGTGATGATGTTAAGCATACACCTAAACACAATAAATAATATAGAGATTTCTACTGCGCCTTTTGCCAACTTGGGATATAAGCCGCTGGCGATGTTTTTATTAATTATTACCCCGGTCATCGGGTCCATAATCAAACCAGCACAAAATGCAACTTCCTCCACTCCCTTGGTAGTATTCCTAGTCGTGCGTGCAATTTAATGCCGATACAGACTAATGTAATACTTGCAATGCCATGCCACATCATCCTACCAGGTACCCATTTATACTCGGGGGGTGGAGAGAGACAAACATAAGTAAAGTGCCTTGCCCATTGCAGAAACAATGCGACAAGCGTCGGTCTCGATCTCACGATCAGAAGTTCAACACCTTACATGCTGCGCCACGTGCTTTTATTTTTACACAAAACATTGAATATTGTGATGGCTTCTTCGTAACCCATTGTATGAGAGAAACTCTTTACCTGTCAAAGATGTGTGGGCCCTACTGTTTACTAGTGGAATTAAATCATTGTTTTCTTGTTAGTATTGTTTGCGGTTATCTATATTCCTGTACTATTAATAAAATCAGAAGACATAAGATTTTTTGATGAATTTATAACATGTTTTTTGTCTTGTGTTTGCAGATGAACTAGGACTTGGAATTGCTCGTTTAAAAGACCTTGCTATTGGGCTCGGAGAAGAGATGGATGAACAAAATGATGTTATAGAGAGATTAGATTATAAAGTAGAGAAAGTTAATGTGAGGATTGATAAAACTACCAAAGATATGAAGAAAATTCTCCGTTCATAATGTTAATGTAATTGTAATGTCAATGATGTAATATGGATGATGTGTTCATAGTGTTGTTATGTTATAAAGAATATGATATTTTCATTATTGGGTGTGCATCTTACAGGTCACCTCCACAACTTGCTCTCTTAAAGTCAATTTTCCTACTTTGCGCCTTGAGCACTTTCTAAGTTGATACGTGCGCTATATAAATCACATTTATTATTATTATTATTATTTTATGTGAATGCTTTGCAATGTAGAAATGTTCAACTAATGAAAAAGGGCTGTATCCAGGATTGCAGTTGGGGGGAGGGGTGGGGTGCGTACACACCCATCACAACCCCCTTTATACGGGCCTGCATCTTTTATTGTTCTATTGTGATGACAAAATGTCTATATTTTCACCTGTAGGGAAAAAAAAGATAGTGTTTGAGCTGGTCCTGGCCTGGCTGTACCAATGTTTAAACTCAAAATAACAAATAGTCCTCAGATGCCAAATTCTCATCCTACTTGGCAGTTGTTTTTCACGAAACTTTGGGCCTAAAATACCAAATCTAGAGATGATAGGATCAAAGATAAATTATTATTATTATTATTATTATTATTGTAATTTATCTGAGGCATAAATTAATATAGCTCTATATAATTCCCTTTTTTTCATTTTTTTTTTTTTTTTCAATCGGTGCCATTTAAAGGTGTTGAGGTTTTTAAATATTTTTAAAAAATATCTTGCATTACTAAGTATTACATGTTGTGTCCATAATGTAACTTAAACCACCTGACTTAATCTTGGATTTTTAGATATAAAATAAAGTGCTGCCACAAGTACTAATTGTAAACATAATCATAAGGTGAAAATATCTGTTCTGAAGTAAATTAATGTTTGTAGTACACAATTTAAATTTTATTTGTTTTATTTGAAGGTGGTTCTAAATCTTTTAAATTATCATTTCCAGGGGTGGATCCTGAATTTTTCAAAAGGGGGTGGGCATGTGTTATTATGTATGCCTATTTGTATTCTATTTTTTCTTGTTTCAATACTGAATATGGCATTGGTATGTATTGCAAAAGCTCGTGAAAATGCCTGTGCACCACCCATTGGTTCCGCCTATAGTTTCAGAGAAGAGTTATATTTTTTAATCTAAACTTTAAAAACAATTGAAATGGGAAATTATATAACAATTAAATTATATAGTTCTACAGCTGTTATGTACTTGAAAAAGAGGATGTTTTTTGTTTTGACTTGATAAAATAATGTATTTACAAATCAGTAATGCAGAACTTTAATATTTAATTTTTAGAAACATGTGTTTAGTAAATTACAGTCAATTTCCAAATAAAATATTTATAAACTCATAAAATGTTGATCAGTAACTGTTTTAAAGACCTTGTTGAGGCCATTTCATAAGATTCAAAATGCCATGCTGCCCTCTAGCGTTCGGTGCGTATCTTCCATACAATTCCAACTGGTATTCTGTTTTCGTTGATCGGGAACCAATTTCGCCGGCAGTTGTCACTGGGAACTTCGACACAAACTTTGAAGTTGATAATCGTGGTTTAATGTTCGGAAAATTGATGCCGGAATCGAGTTTAGACCGGCGACCAGACATAGACGCTGACGATCCTTTATCAATGACTGGAAGTTTGACTGAACCAGTGCTTCCAGATCTGCTTCTTCCGCTCTTTGGACGAACTCGATTGGATGTCTCGTTAGAAGTCTTTATGATTGGAGGAGTTGATATTCCAATAAGGTTTCGGTTCATGCGATCATATTCTTGTGTTAAAAAACCCCATTTATCAGGCCATTTTCGCCAGGCTTGCAACTCGTGTCGTACATGATCTTTCCTGTAAATGTTATGCAGAACGGAAATTAAATCAAGAATTCGCGTTTTTTTTGTGTTTTTTTTAAACATTTTATTAACATTCCAGATAAAACTAAATTGCATTCGATGTTTAATTTTTTTTTTATTTTTAAAGTACCGGTACTGTAGGCTTAACATTTACAAAATACAATAAATAATTCATTTGATAAAAGGTACTTAAATATGTATAAAAAGATTTAAATAACAGATTAATAATGCTTTCAATAAAGGATAAAACTAAAAGGCAATTACAGCTTAACAAGACAATAAACAATAAAAGAAACAGTTCAATAAGTTGGACATAAATCCGATTACCACAATACTAAACAAAATGAAATTATGGTTAAAGATTTAAAAGCAAGGCCAACAAAAAATTAATGGTATCCGACCAGTTGGTCGAAATCCAGTTTGCCGAAACCAGGTTTGCCGAGTTTATGGCCATTTTGCTGAAAGCCAGCTTTTGCCGAATCCAGTTCCACGAAAACATGGAATCCGAGTTTGCCGAATTTTGTCGACTGTCGTACAAAAGCGCAGTACACTAAGGCCTAATAGGCAAAACCGAATGTAAACTCAGACTTGACAACCACAAAGAATTTGTTAAATACAATCAAAATGGCTACCCTGTTGCTCACCACTTCACCGACCCATACTATCAGTGATTTATGTCGCAATCTGGCATTCGGCAAACTGGATTTCGACCATCTTGGCCGAGAACCGAATTAATAGGCGTCAGATCAAAAATAATTATGTGTTACCCAAACCAGACGCTACTAAAACCTCCCAGTATTTAGAGTCGGTTTTCATTTCTTTCACGAGTTTGTAACGTATTAGCATGAGAACAACTATGAATTCTCAGGTACGTATTAATCATTGTTATACGACGACTCGGCGTGGCTCTACAATTCGACAAGCAGTGGCGTAGCTAGAGGTTTTGGTGCCCGGGGTACAAGAGTAGAAAATTGCGCCCCCCCCCCATTATAATTATAATATTTTGAAATAAATTGATATTGGTTGTATAGACTTTAAGGATATGCGTACTATACGTCCATCAGGACGTCCATATATATAAAGCACTGTCTAAATAACATTATTTAAACCCGAATAACTATTATTATCCTAGCTCTCGTATGTTCTTTTTACTATTCTAGCTCTAGAATTCCTTAAAGAGAGCATAGTGGGCATGATCGAGCGTCGCTTAAAATCTTCCGAAAGTTTTGACAATTTATGGGTTTCAAAGGCTTACTTATTCGATTTTAGAGTCTACTAATACAGTATTTACAAAATAGGCCTATATATAATTTTTTTCTCCCCAACGAATAATGCTTTTTCTCCCCGACGAAATGGGGGGGGGGGGGGGGGGGAGGGGCGAAGCTATCCCCGAAAGGGTACCCTGGCGCCATCCGTGTTTCTTACTATTGAAACTGCATTACAATGTTCGGAACTTTGTATATAACTTTAAAATTATCCTAATTTGTAAGGCTGTTGTATTTATCGCATACATCTCAATATTCTTATTCTCTAAATTTCACTTTTCCCATCGTGGCTCTGAGATATGGTAGGACGAGCTTTAGTCATGTAGTCATTACAGAATAGGATAAAAAACAAGAGAAAACGGTCGAAATGGACTGAAAAGAAATCAATCTATGAATTTGCCAATAAAAACAACTACATTCGGATTTTTATTAAAATATTCATGCCTGACGAAATACATCAATTTCGTCGTGTTTTTCTAAAAAGTGCTTATTTTTTAAATCTCATTCTCCCATTTCAGCTCCCCCTCAAACGTGGCGCCCGGGGCACGTTTCCCCCTTTGACCCCCACCAGCTACGCCACTGTCGACAAGATTGTAAAACTTGTCTCGGTGTATAGTCGTAACCGCGTACCAAACTCTGGAAATCAAAAGCAAATGCGTAGTTCAAAGCAAACTTGCTGTTTTACCGAATACGAGTTGTCAAGACGTGGCCTATTTTAAACATGTTTAAAATTACCACCACGTGTTCACAGAGCTGCTACGGCGGCGAGTCTGTACGAGTTCTCTGAATGTCCGGAGTTGATTTAAGAGCTTACCGGAAACTCGGCAAACTCCTTGAAAATTGTCGACGGGAAAAAATCTAGGTTTGAGAGCAGCTTACCGGTATTCACAGATAGAGGATAGGCTTCCTATCCGACCTCTATAATTATTACCCTCCTCGAAAAGAAAGAACCAGGGACGCAATGTTTCACTCACTTTAACTGTTTAAAATGATGGGTGTTAGACCATGGAGTGTAGGCCTACATGGGAGGGGTTAATGGGATCTATGTAAGGGGACTATGGCGATGAGGTGAGCTTGAGATATGAAGTGATATTTGATTACATTAGTGTAATTGTCAAGAAGTGTCAGTGGGGTGGAGCATAGTGCACAAGAGTTTTCAGTGGTTTGGTGTGCACTGCAAATATCACCTCATTTGTGTGTACGACACTGATCATATAAAAACAATTGTAGAAAAATATGAATGTTCTAATTAGCCGGATTGAAGTTCATTGAACAGTAGGCTTATTAATAATTCGAGACCCCCTCTTTTTCCGAGACCTCCTAATTCGAGACCACTTTTTACAAAGCACCAGCTAACCACCAATCTTTTAACATAGAGCTCATCCTCTAATTTTGAGACCCCTCTAAGTTGAGACCGAGTTCATCTTTGGAAAAACCAAGTGGCAAAATGACCTCCAATTCAAGACTGCATTTGAAAATAATATAATCAAATTCAAGTTTTTTTTACAACAGTATATAATCTGTAATTTTTCATAAGTTTATTCATATAACTTAAGGTTTCTTAAGTTTATTCTCTAAAGCTATTTTTAAAAAGACATTTGTAGTTTTAAGCCAGATGTGAATCAGAAATACTGTACCTCCATAATAATAGTTTTTGAGCTGGGGCAGCTGCAGGGGGTGCAGAGGGTACAACCGCACCCCACTAAATTACCGTTAAGATTCTAAAAGTATGAAAGTGTAATTTCCGGGCACCTAAAGGTCCGTATTCTCAAAATGTTCGCACATCAGTCCCCCAACCAAGTGTCGACTCACGTACCCTACCACCAAATCCTGCATCCGCCCCAGTTGAGAGGATATTATTGTTAATACTCGAGCCATAAAAAAAGTTCAGTAAAATGTTTTGCAATGACCTGTTAACTTTGGTAGGCCTACGTCTTGCTAAAAAGTGCTGTTGAAATCAGCTCTACTCATCACTAATTATACAGTAGTTATAATTTACTGTTATTTGTGTCATGGACACAAATGCAAAATCGATGAACTCAATAATAAACATCTGGGATTCGAAACCTACCGGTTTTAAAATGGTACGGTACTCTAACAACATAGATTATCAATTTTTTGCAGACACGGTTGAATATCAATCCATATTAGATTGACTTTTAAAGTCTGTTTCGCTAGCAAATGTTTTTATTTCCACATTCACTACCTGAGTCTCAACATATTGTTTAGACAAACAATTATTTTTTAGACAAAGAGATGATAATCGAACAAATCGCGACTTCCGTCTTTAGCATAAACGGTAAGAGAGTGAAGCCTAAAAAATTACGCTTGTAAAAAAATACAATGGGTCAGAAAGGTTGTTTATGCTTTTAACTGCAAACAAGTCAAATAAAGTGTCAACGGTTATGATTACTTTACAATATGCTGTGCAGATTTTTTCAACATGTTTAATCAAGCAGTGTATGTTAAAAAAATTTAAAAAGCAAGCATCAGTTTCTTCGAAACAAATAATGTGGTCTTTTGTGGTCTTTTTGGAGACCACTTTAGCTTGGTCTTCATAGAGGTTTCCAGGTTCGTTACCCTCTAGTTATGCTGTTTGGAGACAATGTTTAGCCGGTCTCTATTTAGAGGCTTCTAATTCGAGACCCAACCTCCAGACCACCACCCCAAATTTCATCAGGTCCCCAAACAAAATGGTCTCGAATTGGATGGCGGATTTTACTCTATGGTTCTTTAGTTAAGCTTATTATTATGATCCCCTAGACTAATATACGTTGGTCTTCCTACCATATTTCATCATTGTGGACGAAATTCGGCTGCTTCGGTTTTCGAGATGTTGTAGGAGCAGTAGCCATCTTCTGCAAAACGGTGATAAGATGGTACTTCAAGTTTTGTTGTACTAATGTAGTTCCCTAGGAACATATCCACGCGTGCGTGCACGTCACACACACATAAAGCCGGCCAGACAGCAAAAAGTAATGGTGCGTAGCAATCAATCGCGTAACGGCGCAAGATTCAGTGTGTTTTAAAAAAAACCCCAAGCAATTAATTATATAAAACGTGCACTCAGGAGTGGGGTCGCTTCTTTGGTCTAACCTAAAAAGTATACCGGTAACAAGTTTCATTATTTAGAGGGAAGTCTTATTTATGGTGAGAGTGCACATCGAGGTTCACACACAGTGAATCGAAAAATAAGTGCGTAGGCCGAATACAACAATAAAAGATACTGTGGCCTTAGCATAATTCCATAATTATCGTAGCTGCTTTCTATAATTTATTATTTATTCAGACAAAAAATAGGCCTTACAAGAACAAGATATGTACGCAAAAAAGACAAGAGACAAAATATCGGTGCAGCTATCCAACTCTGTGTGTTTTGTTTACGTATGGATGATAAATTGATGTCTAAATCCGTTTGCTCATCTACCGAAAATCCCAGAAAATATTAAGTATGTTAAATTTCATTTAGAGTTACAACATAATCAGAAAGTACAAATATTTCAACATAAGCCTATTTTCACAAAGTATTAAGTCTATTTCCAAAGTACTATAAAATAAAATATGTGTGATAATAAATTATACATCGATAAAAAGTCAGGCAATGTAGGCGCTTTACAGTATCAAGTCGCCAGATACTGTAGACGTTGGTGGCAGCATTAAAGATCTCCGACTTAACCGATAGTTGCTGCAGACTATTCGTACATAACATTAATTTCCTCAACTAAACATAAAACAGATCCTCTGCATGCCCTAAGTAAGTAGTAGTGAGAAATCGAGAGGGTATGCTTATTTATCCGGTCTGTTAGGTGGATTTGGTAAGTAAATTCCTGATAATTTTTAGGTAATATTATTATACAAGAGTGTATCTTACTGACTAAAATCGCGGTGGTCTTAAAATCAAGCTGTAGTATTTGCTAATTTTCAACGTACGGAAGGATAGATGAACCAAGCTTGAAGCTAAAGCTTCCACCATGTCAAATCTGGAGCTATCGATTCACTGGGGCGTGAAATTCCTGTTTGTTTACGTGCCGTGAAAAACCTCAGGTTCTGCCTTGCCGACTATTAAACAACCTTGATATTTATTATTAAAATGAATAACTTGTATTACTGAGAGTAAACCAACCACAAACCAGCACATTTAGTTTCTTTGTGTCGTGTATTAAACAAAAAAGCTATTAATTAAAAAGTGCATAAAATAAAATCCTAATACATTGGAAAATAATATGCAAACAAAACAATTTTTAAATATTTAATTTTTAAATTTTTTTTTTTTTAAATTTGTAAATAATTTTGGTAGGGCCTACTGATAAAACATCTTATTAATTAAAAAAAATGTATTTATTCAAATCACTGCCCAGCAAACAATTTTACATTAATAATAATACAGTATTGCAGTTCTGTATTGATCGCTCAACATGCCTCAGAGGTTATTTCAAGGTGTCCAGAAAACAAAAATAGTAGTAGTGTTGTGGTAGTGTGGTAGGGTAATGTTGTCTCTCGATCAGGCTCTCCCTTTCACACATCTCTGGATCCGCCCCTGCACCAAGTAGAGGTACAGGAATGTTGTGGTGATGGACAGATGAAACCTGAGAGTTCTTGCATTTTTGTTTTTGTCTGTTTTTCCCATCAGTTAAAATTGTTTATATAAACATAAAAAATCCCAAATAAATTTAGAAAAGACTGCCGTTCAGGTGGAAAATGGCGCCACGATCTCTAATTTACTTTTTCCAGTAAATGCACATTTTTTTCCATCCTAACCCATAAAATCACTCCAACTTGACCTAACAGGGGTTTTTTCTTCAGGACCTAAGAAGCCAGGATGGCCCTTCCCCTTCCCCTCCCCCTTTTGTCAAACTTGTTGGACCTCCTGTCAGCAGCAATTAGATCCACCACTCAATGGAGGATGCAACTAAAATGTCTTCAAGTGACTATGCGCTGCATTTCCGCCTTTCAGGTGAAAGGAGAGCAGCTATGGAATTGAAACAGGAACTCACAAATCTCCATGGTTGAGCTCACACACACACTGGCTTGATACCACGCTATTTGCGCTATGTTGCTTTCTTATCAAGACTTGAATAATGAATGAATGAGCAATGAATAAGTGTGGTCAGTATTGGTACAGACAGATCCAACACTGACTTGGAAGTATATTAAATGCAGTGTTGAATACATAATAATATTTTATCCTGTGACCTACAGTATAATCTTCAAAATCTGGTTTATTTATTATGTGTTTTCTGTAGAATTTGTGTCTGTATTATTGATGGCAAAGCTATGATTTTAAAAGACTCATATTTTCATGTATTTTTATGTTATTTATCACTGACCTGTACCAGCATAAATGCAACTGTTGTTTTGATATTAATTTTTTTTTAAGATGCACTGTCTGTAGTGACCTGAGAACTTACATACTTTTTTTTATATAATTTTTTTTTTTAATTTTTAGCAAGCTTCATTTTTAAAGATCTGCAGAGGAGGATCTAAAAAAGTACACATTATTAATAGCAAATTTAATGATTCTACTAAAATCGTCTACACAGAGAAGAAAATTAATATTTGTTGACAAATAATAACTGACAATTCTGTTGGATACTGTCTATTCTGTTTTTCTACTCTGTTTTTTATCGCTTTTAAATGGACCATGTTGTAGACATAACAAACAGCTTAAACGTTGGTTAAGAAAGATGCTAAACTATCTGAGAGAGCTGCTTGATGGACTATAGAACTGAACCATATGCTACAAAAGTCTCCATGGTCCAAGGCACAGAGTAGTTTCTGTCCTCTGTGGCTCTCTTATTGTCTTTTTGATACAATGTCACAATACTGTAGAAATAAATGGGATCATAAATAAGCTGATCACATAAATGAGCTGATCACTATTAAAGTTACTGAAATCTGTGGTTTGCTTGTGGTATGATATGGTATTTCCATGCCCATATATGTTTTTTTCACATAAACCTGTCATATTAAACTATTACCGAGCTTTAGTAATGGTACTCAACCTATTAGCTTATTATAACCTCCTGTCTGTTTGACTCCATTGGAGTGTTGGCCAGTATTTCAATCAGATCTAGATCTTAATAACTCAATGGAAGTCATTCATCACGAGAATATGCCTCCCATGTATGTGCAACAAAGCGGGTTTGTGATCTTATTAGGCATTCCGGACATACAAATTTCTAACTTGCAAAATATTATCTTTCAGTATTTTTTCTTGTGCATATAATTTCCATGTACCTAATTTTTACTTCGTTTTTCAACAATTTTAATGTTCCCCCATATTGTGATAATTTTTTAGCATGGCTAAAACAAACATGTGAGCAAAAACATCCGCATAAAAAGATATAATTTACATCATTCTCATTCATTTTATATTGTCTCTTTGTGCATGCTGGCATGATGATGATGATGATGAATATTTTTGCACCATACTGCTCCTCATCATTTGCCAGTAATTTATGACCTGCTCTCCCACAAATCTGAGCTTCAACAGTAAAATCTCTAGTTTACCAAATTGCGGTGGGGTATTAAGGAGTTTTGAAATGGGTGAGGGGCTGATGGTGGAGTGCGAATGTGAAAAGGGGGGGGGGAGGACCTGATGATTTAGTGAGAAGGCGCTAGCTTTGAAAAAAGATATGAAGTGCTTTTTAATTACTTGAGCATAATGTTTTTGTTTTGAACATTTTCGGGGGTGGGGGGAGGGAAGCTTTTTTTTGGGGGAATAAAGTGCCTCCGTGCATAGCCCTTGATACACCAGTGTCCAATTGGGATCAACTTTGCAGGAATAATATCTATCTATCAATCAATCAATCAATCAATTATTCCATTTATATGGCACCATTGCAACAGTCACTGCTTGTGTGCTGTCCACACATGTTTAATGTTCGAAAAACAAAACAAAAAAAGTTTTCCAGAGCTTTGGTCCGGCAGTGCAGAAAGCCTGATCTCCCCAGCCACGTTTGCTCATTGGGATGTTCAGGAGCGCTTTTGGCCAGATCTTTGGCACCATGAGGGAATGTGTCACCTACACCCCTTTTACGGGATGAAACAAATGAAACTATATTACCAAGTAGCACACAACAAGACTTTTTTTTAAAAATAGTTTTTAAGCTTCAAAAAGATCATCAGAAGGAGTTTTGCATCAGAAAGAGTTTTGCAAAAAGCATATTAGGCATAGATGAAAATATAAATTCAATTAGAAAATGTAATTAAAGATGCCCTCAGACCCTCATAGGTCGCAAAAGTGTGATGTTGCAATTTGGATTGGATTGGATTTATTCGGTGTAAACACCAAGGATAACCCACGAAAGTCTGAAGAAGACTTATTTCCAGTGGGGTCCTTCTGGTGGTGATTGGGCAGTACCCCGGGAAACAATCCCCTACTCTTCCGAAGAGTGTACTGCGTTAACATGTACATGGGCCATAATGTATATAGGACCAACAGCTGAAACGTCTTATCCAAAAGACAGTGCGCTATCGTAACTTGCATTTCAGCCTTCCAGCTGTAAGGTACAAGGAGAGCAGCAATGGGAATTGAACCGAGGACCAAGCGATCTCCACGGTTCAGCGCACACACAGTGGCTACCACCAGATTAGATGACTGAGCTACTGTAAGCCCATTGGAACAGTTCAGTAATCAGGTTAACTGGCTGTTTTGTTTTTACTGTTAGACAAAAATAGATTTCTTTGTTGAGAGATTTTATATACATCTGTGGCAATTGTAATAAAAAATTTTAAAAAAATATTTTGTTTTCCTGAAATTTCCATTTTTTGGTGATGGCAGGTATGTCCAAAGCAGGCCCAAAATGTTATTTTAATGTTTATTTTGAAATGAGCATTGTCAGCGGGCGGTAGGTTCATGAATCAGGTTTAATTAAGTCTTGCCTAACATGTAGAGCCCCATTTCAGGTATCATTTATATCACTTACACTACTGGTATTACCATAATTTAATTTGCTAAGCATACAAACATGTTGAGATTATTACTACTTACCCTTTCAAGCGGATTATTGGTACTTACCTGTAATAATTATGAATTGAACTAATATAGTCTACAAACGAAAAACCTTCGTGTTCATAAGGTGAGACTATTCACTATATACCTTGTTTCACGAACCCACTGCCACCAATAATGATGATTTTGAATAAAAATAAAATTTTATTTTTGTCCAAGAAGCGCACCCATCGCCACGAAAAAGGGAAAATGTTTATTACACACGCCGCTGCCTTGAAATCTCGAAAATTAAGATATGTATTCTTCCTAATTATATAAATCTAAAGCATTTAACCATCCCATTACTATACTGTTTACATTCACTAATAAATTTTTATTTTCTCTTCTGTCTGAAAGTTTTTGGCAAAAATATTTGCTAAATAAGAAAACAAAATTAATAGTACAAAAGTAAAACATAACAATCTCTCTCAACATGCTTCCTTAGGAGTGTGTGGTGCAGCGTGTAAGGTGTTGGACTTCTGGTCATGAGATCGGGAGTTCGAGACCGACGCTTGTCGCACTGCTTGTGTCCTTGGGCAAGACACTTATGACGGCATGGAGAGGATGGCATGGCTAAAGCACAGGTGGGCAAAGTGTACTGTAGCCCACGGGCAGCATGTGGCCCAATAGTAATTTTTTTTACAGCCTGCAAAAATGAATTAAAAACCCTACATGTGTGCGGCCCACCAAACATATTTGGCTAGAAAACACCTTGTTTTTTACGTCCTGATACTGATCAGAGTCATACTGTGTATGTAAAAAGCAGGCCTAATATTAAAAAACTGAAAATAAAGTGATATTAAAGCAGTGCATGAAGGTTTTTGGAAGCTCACTGGAAAAGTTTGGGTGTGGCCGTTGGTGTTAAATCAAAAATTTACTTTGTCCCTTTGCTTCTCTTCACACTGGAATATAAATGGGTACCTGGTAGGAGGTGAATGATTCGGAATGAATTCGTAGTGCTGAATACATGCGT